TCCATCGTAAAACCAGAAGGATATAAGGTTTTAGACTGAAGAACAGAAGTCTAAATTTAGAAATTTACAAAAGAGCGGGCGACAGTAAACTGTCAAGTCTGAACAAGAAAGATGCTGAGACACTGCATATAGACCGGAAACAGCTGTGTGCAGTCAAACTGCCACTGCCCTAACATTTGACTACATACAGGCGGTCGGTACGACGACAGAGACGTTTACATGTTCAGGCATGAATTTTGAGATCTTTTCCGAATTTCAACGACGACTGTATTTGTAGTAACTCTTAAAGTATTTCTAGGGATTTGTCAACGGATAATAATAATTTCCGACTCATTGTACGAGATTTATTATTAAACGGCTCCCATCAATTTGCACGGATTGACGGTAAGACAAAACACATAGCAGCAGATATAACGTAAAATGCTGCCAGACGGCTAACTGTACAACTGAAGCAAGAAGGCTCTGTAGCAAAATTCTATAAACTAAAAGAGACCGTCTTATTCCGCAAAACCAATGCTACTTGTAGATGGGAAGTTACAGGAACAGAAACCAGCGATAACAGCTATAATAATGATACACTGTGCTTGCAGAAGGGACTTCACTACACTGCAGCGCCCATGTTATCGTCATCGTCCTCACGGCGTGGGCGATGGCGTTTTGCAATCGAGGCGTCCAGTTTACCGGGGCCACGCTTCTCCTGTCCTTTTTCCAGCAACCAGCGAGCTTGCTGCAATTCCTGCCAACGTTGAGCTGACGAGCGCGGATCCGCGGCATTCAAACGTTCAAAATAGCGCTGCTCCGCTTCCAAACGTAAGTGCTCATCTATATAGGAAAGTTCTTCTTCAATATGTTGATTATACACATCCACCAATGTGACGACAGCACCATGATCTCCCGTTTCTCCAGGAACGTAGTCCAACGCGGTGAGGAACTCGACGGGGTTACGCACAACATTGATGCCATGATTCCGACGGAGTTCGCAGACGATCTGCCCGATAAGCCATCCTTGTCGGAAATCCACCCGCAGGTAACGCAACAACGCATAGTGTGCATCCTTTGACAGATCCAGGGTGTGGACAAAACGATTATACTTGTCCAGCGTCATTTCCGATCCATTATGATAGATCTTACCAAGAAAACGCAATCGATTCTCAGGATGAAGCTCCACATAATCGGTGTCTGGATTGTAGGGGCAATGGATCAAACCAGACGGAGGGATGTAACTTTTCCCTCCACGAGCATAGTCATATGGAGATGGCCGAAGACCACAATCCACCATGCGCATCGACCATTCAAATGTTGGTTCAGGCCATCCGGTGTGAGGATCGGGATACTGCGGCGGCTGAACATCAGCCAAAACATCTGCCAAAACCTGCACCGAATCCTCCGAGGAACTGGTGGTATGCTCATGCTGGTAGGAAGGGTGTGACGGCACTTTCGGACGATGCATTGTAGCGATATACAGTAATTTTAACCGCAAGACCAGTGTAGAGAAAAAGCAAACTCGCACAAGACTGAGAGCGAATTTAATAAATGACACTGATTTTTGCAGGTAACAAGTTCATTTTGCGGCAACTACAAACAACTTCTACGCCGCTGATGTCCAAGTGAGAGGGACGAACGCTACTACGTCACCGCGAATTGTCCAATGGCGACTACGCGCACTTCCTCTGTACGTACAAACAATTTGGGAATTTTCCAGACAGCTTGGATGCATTGAAGGTAAAATTTCAATTCTTAAAATTCAAAAATAAAATAAATGTACAAATTTACACGGCCGCTCGGCCTCTTTAATCATTATTGCATAGAGTACAAATCCGGGAAAACTTCGTTAAATCCGATTTCATCTCAGGCCAGAAGAACCGAAGGTTTTTATATAAATATTCATACGGAGAGATGGCACTGCAATATTTGTGTAAAAGCCGGCGATGTGCTGACTCGGCTACTATTTTACGCCATTGAAATGGGATCAAAATTTTAGGAATTCTTTTAGGAATGTCATCTTTTTCACCATAATGACAAATAATGCCATTAATTTTCAGGACAAGAGGGAGGTGCCAAGCTGCATACGGGGATTCCTCTAAAGTACAGTCTCCGTCAACAACAGCGTCCCACAACATCAGGTCACTGCACTCCAATTGTCGGTACTTCCAGAACTCCTGCTTATCCAGGGCATCATCGGATATTACGCCCTGAGGCCAGAACTGCTCAATCGGACGTGCCCAAGCCGGGGCTGGGAGAATTCTGTCTTCTACAACAGTCAGGGAAGACTTCGATGATTGCGCCGGCACGATCTCCATTGCATTACAGATAATTGGCGGAGTATCACTGGCCAACGGCTCAACCGATTCAGATTGGCCCTCTCCCGGCTGGGATACATTCAAAATAGCCGGATCTCTATTATTTGTGACCATACGCTTTTTAACATCGACCGACGGGTCTCTTTTGCGTTTTTTGTCATTTACCTGATTCACCAGTCTCTCCACAGGTTTGACCACACGCCCGGAGCGGGTTTTGAGCAAAGGAACCGCTTCCATCTGGTTATCCAAATATTCAGCATACTCAGCATCAAGGCGCGACGACGCTGAGTCCATGGACGGAATCACCGGCGGCGGCGCGGGCGTCTCAACTAAATCATCGGGGCATTCCTTTTCCACACAGTCAAGCAACTTCGGTAAGTGCTCGTCTTGTAAAATAGTATCAACGTCGCGGAAATTATACGGCTTTAGGCGGCTGACATGGACTGTGTCAGTTTTAACGTTCCCACGCCTATTACTCTTTACTATATAGTGAACCGGCCCTGACTGACGAACGATTTCCCATCCAGCAGTCCAACGAGGCATAAGGGATGGATTCTTCCCCACTTTTCTGTGAAGTACGTACACCAGAACCTGATCTCCCGGTTTATACGATACATGTGAGATATTTGCATCGTAACGAATTTTGTCCTTCAGTTTATGCCGAAATTCTTCTGCGTTTACCAAATCCAAAGCCTCGCCAAGTCCCCGTTGCATCTGCTGCACATAAACGTGAGCGGGAATCACAAAATCCTCTACAAACGGCAGGAAGTTATTCAACGGTAAGCGCATCTCGGTGCCGTGCATCATGAAGAATGGTGTGCGGCACGTCCGCTCCACAACCTTGCTATTAAATGCAGCACAAAGTGCTGGGAGGAATATATACCAGTCACTTTGCTGCTCATTTACATACTTCGCTAATGCCTTTTTGATTTCCCCTACACGTTTCTCAACAAGTCCATTACCCTGCTGGTGGCCTGACGCCGTCGGTGCGTGAGCAACACCAGCGAGAGCGAGGAGCTCTCGAAACATTTCCGACATAAAATTACTGCCGCGGTCTGAGGTGATGTGTACAGGCATGCCAAAGACCGTGAGAATACGACGATAAAAGAACAACGCCAAAGTGGCGGCATCATTTCTCTCAACTGCTTCTGCGACTATATATTTACTTCCGTAGTCGACGGCAATTATGATGTTTTTATTTCCAGATTCCGTCGTTGGAAGAGCCGGGGCGACATCAATTGCCCAAACTAACCGAGGAGGAACGGTCGGGTTTGACTGGAGAGCACCGGCCGGAGCCGTAGCGAGAGGATTCTGTGCAAGGCACGCTGGGCAAGAGGCACAATAACTTTTAACAGACTCAAACATACGAGGCCAATAAAAATATTTATACATCCGTTTGTAAGTGGCCAGAACTCCCAAGTGTGCCGCTAATGGTGAGTCATGATTATCCTGAAGGAATTGTAACCGCCAATGCACTGGCACATACATACAGTAATAAATTTTGCGGTTTAATTCGAATTTATAATAAACAACGCCCTGCTTTACTACAAATTTGTTCAGGTGTAATTTCTCATGGTCTGACATCTTTTCCTTTTGTTTTCTAGGAGCAATCGCCATCGGACAATCCGGGCATCGCGAGACTGCTCCTCAGCCCAATGTGAGGCTTTGTCATCTGTAACTAACTTCTGGACTTTATCAGCGTCAAAGGCTTGCATATCCTCTTGAGAGACTGCCTTCACCTCGGCCAACATCATTTCGAACCGGATATCCACGTAATCTCTCTCCAGAATCGCGAAACAACACTCAATCATCGCTGCATCACCAGCAAACGGATAAGTTTGCCGATAGTCAAATTCGATATCCCAGTCGTCGGAGTCGGGTTCCGGTTGTTCCCCTGGATTTCTGCTCAAAGCGTCTGCAATAACGTTCTCTTTGCCAGGTATGTGAACAGGCTTAGTGATAAATTGCTGGATATATAACGCCCAGCGCCCGAGGCGGCCAGCGGCATCGCGCATATTGTTAAGGAAAACCAGAGCCTGGTGATCGGTTTGAACTTCAAACTGATAGTCAGATAAGTAGTGTTTCCATTTTTTCAAGGTGCATATAACCGCATAAGCTTCAAGCTCAGTAGGAAAATACAGCCTTCTCTGGGTCTCAGTTAACTTGAGGCTTAAATACGCGATAAGTCTCCAGTTCGTCGCTACATCCGTTGGCTTATCCCGCGGGCATTGCATGAGAACTGCCCCTACAGCGATACTGCTGGCATCCACGATGACTCGCGATAAAGCCTCTGGATCATAACGGGCCAAGACCGGCGCCGTCACCAATGCTTCCTTCAACTGTTCAACTGCCCTACACTGATCCGTTCCCCATTCGAAGGTAACTTTCTTAGGAATTAATTTCTGAAGCGGCTCAGCAATTTCTTGGAAGTTCTTAATGAATTGGCGATAATATCCTACCATGCCCAAAAATCTGAGAATATCTTTCTTGTCTTTTATAGGGCCGAATTCCTTTACCGCCTGTATCTTTTCTGGATCTGTGCTTATACCAAACTGGTCAACCGTATGACCCAAGAAGGTAATCGAGTTGACGAACAATTCTGTTTTTTCAGGATTGATCGTCCAGCCACATTCCTGGAGCCTCAGAAAAAGCTCCTGTAAATCCCACATATGATCTGCCAGGTTTTTACTGAAGACAATAATGTCATCAATAAAAACCAACACGTTCCTCCATTTCATGTTCGCAAGCGTCAAATCCATGGCGCGCTGGAAAGCAGAAGGCGCGTCCTTCATCCCAAAAGGTAAGACTTTATATTGGAATGTGAATTCTTCCCCCACCATGGTCGTTTTACAGAGATCTTCTGGTTTTATTTTTATTTGCCAAAAGCCACTCTTCAAATCGATCTTACTAAAAACTGTTGCTTTGTCTAGGGCGTTGAGAATATCGTCAACTCTAGGAAGCGGGTAACTACTGCCCATTAATCGTTCATTTAATTTACGAAAATCCACGGTTAAACGCCGGGATTTATCTTTCTTTTTCACTATGCAGATGGGACTTCCCCACGCCGAATTTGTTGGCTCAATGATACCGTCTCTAATCATTTCCTGAGTTTTAGCCTGGAGCCATTTTCGATCTTCAAACGATGTACGATACGGAGAAGTTCTAACCGGCAAACTTGTACCTGTGTCCACAGAAAGCTCATATATGGTACAGCATCCCACCGGACGTGCTTTAGTCGGCAAAACAGACTTCGCTTGATAGAATATAGCTTTCAATTCATCCTTACTGGGGCAAATGTCTCCGACTTTAATTTTTGCGAAGGTTTCTTCTGTTTCAGGGTCGACAACGCCAACGGCGGGTGGCTGCGACTGCATCAACACACATTCGTTTATTTTTTCCGGCACTGGAATGCCCTTCTCATCACTGGGAATACCACCAATTGCTTCTTGACAACTCTCTTGGAACTCCGGGGAGTCCATCTGGTACACTGCATCAACAAGTGCCACTTCACCGAGGTTAGTCTCTTCGTTTAAGACTAGTGGTTTGTCAGAAACGTTGACAACACAGACTCGGCAGTTACCGTACTCATTTAGTGTTAAAACGCCGTCGAGTAATACCGCATTTTTATTTGTTTCCGGTATTTTTCCTTCGTAGAGAAATGGCTGAGTATATAAATACTCATCCTGGAATTCCATAAACTGTTCATCCGACATAGCCGTAGTTGCGCGAATTATTCCCTGTGAATAAGGCTGAATTATAACCGGTGAAGCCGGGAAATGCTCCATTTTAAAGCAGTCGATCGGGCCAGGTTCTGGCTCGAAGCGGTAAATATCGTGTTCTACCGAATTAACTTCAACCTGTGCTTGTGCCTGTTTCAGATGGGCGTCCCTATACGCCAACTCGATGACATCTTTCGAATATACGCATGCCGGAATATCTGTGGACTCACGAACGTCCTGAGACCGTTTTGGTAAGTTTTTAGCCGTCGGTTGTTGCAATATCGGTGCCGGCTGCACTGTCTCAGCCGACATCTGGCTTGCAGCCTCGCGCTCTGCGTATTCCCGCCGAATTCTACGGCTGTAACTAGATTTTTTACGCCTGGGAGAATTCCTTCCCGAATTTTCCGGTGACGATTCATAGTTTCCCACAGTAGGTTGTGCTGGATTAACAGCTGCAGATTCGCTCAATGCTTTTTGTTTTTGAATCTCATTCCAGATTTCCCACTGCTCGTTAATGTTAACATTTGTCGAGACATCGTAAGTCGCTCTGGCCTCCTCTGAAACGAACTCAGACGGCTTCGGCGGCGGTGAGTTGTTAATAATTTGAGAATTTATTTCCCTTTGCTTCTCCGCCTGTTTATCCTCGTAGGAGACCGGACACTGGCCAATATTGATGGGCTGCATTCCATCAGCAGGGACAAAGGTACCATTCTCAAATTCTCCTGCGGGAGCTGGATTATCCACAGAAAAGGTAACCTTGCGTTTTCCTGTAGCTTTCTGTGCATGTAATTGTTCGGTACGCTTCAGAGTTTCGAAATGCCGACGATCGTTTATTTAATTCCGACATACGTCACAGTTCTTTTCATACCGTTCAATTTCAATAATACAATCCGGCCAGTAAAACAATTTCACCAAATACGGATATAATTTTTCATGCCGGCCATACGCTTGCTTATGAATTAGTATTTCGTGGAAGCAGGCTATCAACTTTTGTCGCCATTGGTGCGGCACGTAAATTCGTGGGCAAGCTCCCGAGTGATCAGGTACTCTACACAATATCCCTTCACAAATAACGAATCTGTTGATCTCATATTTAGTGAAATTCGTATTAGCATGTGACGGCTTTTTGTACATTTTGTACCACATCCGGCTATCAACACACTGCTGTTGAGTTTCGCGCCAAAACTGCGGGTCTCTGAAACGTTGCTCCGAGGTAAACAACTGTTTATCCTGTGGCCTATCCATCGGCGTCATCCACTTCTTCAGCTCTGGATTGCGTGCCATGTAAGACGGATAGTCATGGATTTCATCTACTTCTCTGCGGTCGCGCTCAACCGGTATGACATTAAGCAATTTGTTATCCATGCTAAGACATTCGACAACCTTCGCTGATTTCTCCAAAACACCCACGTAGAGATACTTTGCTGCGGGGTGTTGCTTCAATACCGCGTCCACAGAAGAAATCTGAATAGGAAGTTGTAAGGAATCGTCACCCCCACGAACTTGACTGGAGCCAAAATTCGGCACCGGACTAATCGATACCAAAGGTGAAGTACTTGGACTGCTTGCCGGCGACGGCTACACAACTTTTTCCTTTTTAATTGGCGGCTGAGGAGACGCCTGTTCTCTCCCCCGCGAACTTAACTGCATATTATGTACAATTGTCTCACCGCCTCCCCCACGAACTTGACTTGGTTCTGGGTTTTTCTCCACTTTAATTTCTTTCTTAACTGCAGGTTTGACCGGTTCCTCTGCGACTGAGGCTGCTCTCGGCAAGTATTGCCTGATCATTTCCTGGACTACACTTCGCACCTCATCACGCTGATCAGATCCCTTTTTAATCGGAGCTAACTGAACTGGTGTAGATTCTTTAACTTCCGTTTTCACCGGGGCATCAGCCATCTTTATCACTGGTGGGGACTGGACTGGACGCGGCCACTCCTGCTTAGCCTTTTGTAAGTGCAAGATGCAGATTTCTGGATCAGCTTTCGCTAAGATTAAGTGTGCCGATTCATAAGGTACAAATTTTGCTTCTTTAGCCACGCCAATTCGTTCAGTCAGCATTAAAGCTGGTATCGAGGGAGACGGCTTAACTCCCGGGGGAACTAATGGATCAAAATCGTGCGAGCGAATGACGTCGGACATGAGGTGAGTTTCGCGACGAAAGAATGCCGGTGCATTAGGCTGTCTACGCGAGAGACGCCAGGTCATTGTATTCATATCTAATATAAGAGGTTTTGTAGCTAAAAGTCTAAACCTAAAACAACGCGGTCCCTATCGAAAGTGGAACTCACAAGCATTGCGTGCTCAAAAGCCATCCCAAATTCGTGGATGGTAACCACCACCGATAACGGTTCAATCAACTGTCTTCCCTGGTAGGCCGTATGTACAACCCTGCCCTTAATGTGATCGGGGTAGCGGTGAATATTTAATTTTAAATCTTTAGCCATTTTTAAAGACATAACGGATATACTTGAACCAGTATCCAGCATGGTTTTCACTTTCTGATAATTTATGTCGATTACAGAATACCAGGCCTGGGCATCGAGCGTCGGCAACAGACACACATGATCCGCTAATGGATATTGCGAAAAATCCTGGACTTCCATTTTGTTACACTGGGGCGTCGGAGAAGACAAACCAGCCGGTAAGTCTAACTCCATCATATTAATTTGCTGCTGGGGGTTGTTGTATCGAACCAATAACTCTGCCGACGGCTCGTACTGACGAGGAAGTACGAATTGGTTTGTACATCCTGCAGCCGGATGGAGACCATGACAGCGGAAGCAAATCTCCACCCCGCGATTCGTTCGCCCTTTATCCTTTAAAATGTTTCTTTCATCAAACGGAGGTTGATTACCAGCCTGCTGTTGCGGGCGATAATTCTGATTTGGATTCTGCTGACGGTTATTGTTGTTATTATAACCACCGCGTCCACGGTAATTGTTATTATTATTATTTCGGTAATTTCCACGATTATTACCGCCATTATAATTGTTGTTATTCGCAGGGCCATCCTGTTGATACTGTGGATCAAAGTTCTGTACCGGCTGCTGAAATTGCGACTGCATAATCAGCATCATGGGATTCATCATCTGCATAGGAACAGGCATCGCAGTCTGCATGGGAATTGGTTGCGGAAAAGTCTGCGCAAATTGTACCGGTTGCTGCTCAACAAATGGTGGCTGTGAATATACCGGAACTGGAACAAATTGCGGCTGGGAGACATTCAGGACATGCTGCACGGGAGCTACTGAATTCTGCGGCTGCGGAATCACCGTTTCCGTGTACGAGCGGGTGTATCCACCTCGATTATTCCCATAATTTCCCCTGCCTCCCCGGTTCGAATAATAATTTCCTCTTTGAGACGAGCCACCCCGGCCGCCTCGGTTTTCATAATTCGAATTATTATTATTGTTATTACCAGCGCTTCTGGGTTCAGCAGGAGCACTTTTCTGAGTTGACTCAGGTGCCTTCTTATCTTTATTCATGCGTTTCCACAGTTTTTCGCATTCTTTTAACTTCTTTTCAAATTCTGAGTAGTTTTTAGGCGCTGCATTATAGATTTCACGGAACCAAGCTGATCTATGGTCTTGCACGCCATCAAGAAGTGCCTCCACTTGCTCTTCGTCGGATATTTTTAGCTCCTCAAACCATGGGAGGAAACTATCCAAGTAAGCGCGAACAGGCTCATAAAATTCTAACTTGCGATTATTCATTTTCCGGCGAATATCGGCTTTAGAGAGAGAGCCGTTAAAGTGCTCTACAATAGCCGGCTTGAAGAAATCAGACCATGATTTGCCTTTATTGTCTCTCCAGAATTTTTCGAACCATTGGAAGGACGCTCCAGTAAATGCGCCAGTTACTCTGCGACAGGTAACCTCATCATTCCAATTATTTGTGGTGCGACACTGCTCAACATTCATCAGCCATTTCTGAATTTTTTCCGGATGGAAATCATCGAAGGTAAACAGTTTCATACCTCCTACTGTTTTATCGCTGTCTTTTTCCGCAAATTTTGCTAAAAGTTCAACAACGCTTTCTTGTGTAAGCGTCGTTCTATCCGAAATTTGGGTCTGCT